TGGGGAGGGGGGGGTTAGAGTGGTGTCTTGGATATCTTTAGTGTGGAGATTAGTTATGTTTGTCTAATTTACAAATTATGATTTAGTCGGAAGTCATTATAAATATAAAGTGTTTTATTGTGTTTTATTGTAGTGTTTATTATTTCAATATTATCTGGTAACTTGTTCATTTAGTCGGAAGTCATTATAAATAGAAAATATTTCATCAAAGTATCTATTATTTCAATATTATAGTTCATTTAGTTAGAAATCATTCTAAACAGAAAGTATTTCATTGAAGTTATCTGTGATTTCAATATTATTAATAGAAAGTATTTTATTGAAATGGAAACCATTTCAATATCATAATTTATTTAGCTGGAACTTGAAGCTAGTATAAAAAAGTCTTTATAAATAAAAAGCATTTCATTAAAATATCTATGATTTCAATATTATAATTCATTTAGCTAAAAGTCATTATAAATAGAAAGTATAGTATTTCATTAAAGTGTCTATCAATTCAATATAATAATTCCTTTGATAACAAATGATTGCTTGAGTGAGAGAGTGAATATCCAAATCATATACTAGGAAATTTGGAAAGTGAAAAGATAGATATAGTGAATTAAGGAAGTTGCAAGTAACTATATTAAAGGGAATTGACTAAGGGAAACTCTCGATATCAGGCTTACCTACTCATTATTAAAAATTGCCAGAACTTACCAGATTTATCATTCCTTTTCAGCTACAGGTTTAGTTTCTGATCAAAACTACCGGTATATCAAAATGGATTCCCAGTATCTAAATATTGCAGGTAAGCTATTCCTTTTAAAGACTAGTTTCTAAAATTAGCCCTCATCTCGAAGCATGAATCCAAAGCTTCAAATCAAACACCCAAACACATTTTAAAACTTCTCTCATATCTTCAAATATTATTCAACTTCAACTTACTTATGCCATCAGCGTATCACACATTCAAGCTCGTTCCAGCAATGGCGCAAAACGCTTCTACCCGACAATCGCAATCTTCCGCACCACAACCCACTCCCATCCTCCCTCCTTCAACCCCAGCAAATTCGCGTTTATCTCTCAATCATTCCACTCCAGCTTCAACACAACCACAACTACACACTCCAACCATGGCGACTCCAAGCAGTGAATCGCGCATGCATCCACCTAGTATACCACGCAGTTTGATGACGCCAGCGAGAGAATTAAGAGAAAGTTCCGTCGCGAGTAGTATTGGATCGGGAAGTGCGACGCGCAAACCGAGACAAAATTTGGATGAGCGCGACCAGGTTCAGGCATTGAAAGCTTGTATTGTTCAAAGGCACAATTTTAAAGAAGGCACCAAGAGTCAATTTTGGAATGGTGTTAATGCACAATTTCAAGAATCTACCGGTAAAGTTCTGGCGCAAATGAGCGCGACGGTCGCAAGATTGGTAGAAGCTCGTAGGAGACAGGTATGTGATTGGGAGAATGAAGTTACTCCTGATAAGCCTGGTGGAGAATTAAATACATTATTGGATGAGTGGATTGAGTTTTTGAAGGTGGAGGATGCAGATGCGGAGGCCGATAGACAACGACAGGTGGATGCGAGGAGAAGGGTAGAGGAATCGAGGAAAGAGGCCAGGAAACAGGTGATTGTGGCCGAAACCATGATACAAAGTCAAAGCCCAGGTCTTAGACTCGCCGCGGGTCCGGCTCCTCCACAACCGATCGCGGATATGGGACAAAATCAACCTCAGCATACTCACGTTGGTCAAGAAATGGTATATCAATCAGCTCCAAATGGAGAATTTGTCGATGCGAATGGATATCGCCCACATAAGAGACGAAGGACTACGAATAACGAGCGCCAATTACCACCACAAGTTCACCAAGAACCAATTATCTACGCCCAACAAGAATATCGACCGGTTCCTCCTCCAGCTCCATCCTCACCACCTCGACGCGTCATAGTAGAAGGGCAATTGACCAAAGAAGATTGGCGTGATATCATGGGCAGTGATGCACGACTGCGGGCGCTAGAAACCAAAGTCGATAAAATCGAATTCATCGTTTCACAAAATAATAAATTGTTGTTACAATTATTAGCGCACCAGAAGACGGAGGATAAGGATAAGGAGAGAGAAAGAGACAAGAGGAATGATTCTGAAGATCATGATCGGGTGCCCGTTCATTTGGATGCGGAATTTGAGAGGGATTATTTGTGAGCCTAGCCCTTGCTCTCGATACGAATTTCAATTCTAAGACCTTTGCTGAGATTCTTGAAAGGACCGGAAGATATTCGAAAACTCCATTACCAATGAATGATTAGTTGAGCTTGAGCTCGAGCTTTCTTATGTCATGGGCATGGGACGATAACTCGTTGTATCAGACTGGAGTTTGCACAGGACGCATATGAAGGGTTCTTCGACATCTACTAGACGATATGATAAAATTATCATAAATCATCGTCGACATCTTTCCTAGTTACTCTGGAATTTGTAAGTAGGATTTCTACTCTATCACATGCTTTACAATACCTCGACTAATACCCACATAGTCCATCATGCTTAAAAGTTCAAACGCTTGATTTAGGGAGATTTCTATTTCTTTCATCTGATCCTGATCCTGATCGAAATCATTCTCACTCAGATTTATTTCTCTTCTCTTCTCTTCTCTTCTCTTCTCTTCTCTTCTCTCTTGTTCTTTACATACAACTCAACACTCAACACTCTAAGCTACGCTAGCGACTATCTCTTAGCTTCGAATTATTTTTCGACTGGAGCCAAAATATCAAAATTGAAACAGTGTTTATTTGGGAAGCGAGCCTGGTGCTAATTCTATCATTCAATCAATCAATCTGTATTTGTATTACCAATTCCCAATTCTCAATACCAAATACCAATTAGCAAAGTATCTATTAAAATTACAAAGTAATTAGGTATTAGGTACCGGTACTTATTTTTTTTTCTTTACATCATTTCTCGAAAGCGATTTCTGCTGGTTTTTACTGGTTTCTGCAGGTTTCTATGCTACTGGTTTCTAAGGCTTTCTATGCTACTGCCTCGTTCTGGTTAATGGGGTGGTAGTGGTATGGGATTGTGGGGGAGGGGAGGATGAGAGAAGAGCAGAGCAGAGCAGAGGATGATAAATGATTGTGATTGCAGTGGTATGGGATATGGATGGATGGATGGATCATAAGTATTTAATATCTACCTTTGGGCACATTCATACATACATACATTCATACCTCGTACATTCATATACATTGATCCCTACTTATTCCTAAATAAATAAATAAATCTTCACAACCATGAAACTATAAATGAATCACAAGGAAATTGAAGATCAAAAAAAAGAATAATTAAAATAAAAAATGAAGATAAAAAAGCGATCAATCATCATAATATTAACATTTCCATCCTAATCCTATCCATCCTAATCCTATTCTATCTACTCGAGTATATTCTTCAACTTCAACCTCAACCTCAACCTCAACCTAAACTTACTTCACTATAAATTTGGATATAGAAAATAATTTCAGTTCCAGTTCCAGCCCCTAGCTCCTAGCTCCTTCCTAGTTCCTAGCCTCTAGCTCCTTTCTTTCCTAGCCTCTACTCCTTCCTACCTCTATTCCATCCCCATCCCCATCCCCATCCCTCACCCAATCCCAATCCCAATCCCCATCCCCATCCCCAATCTCCATCCATCCCCATCCCCTTCCCCTTCCCCATAAGCTACAGCCTACAGCCTACAACCTACAGCCTACCTACCATACTGCTAATCTCTCTCTTATTTACCCTTACCCTTACCTACTCAGTACTACTCAGTACTCAGTACTCAGTACTCGTATTCTCCCAACATCCAACATCCACCATCCAACATTTTATCTTTTAAATGTACTGTAGATACTCGTATACTCGAGTTAATATACCTTTTCTTAATTTTAAATTTTAAATCTCATATCTCATATCTCATCTCCTGATTCAATATTTGACGTTTGACATTTAACATTTATCCTTTAAATATATACTCGAGCATATAGTATACATATCTTCTTTCTCTTCCTCTATTTCTTTCTCTTCTTCACAAATAAACAAACACAGAAATACATACCATTTAAACCATACACACAAACTATTCACATTATTCGAACCAATCAAATAAATTCAGTAGATTTAATACTCTTTTACTCGAGTATATTTATTTTATTTATTTATTCATTTACACTTCAACTTCCACTTCCACTTCAATTTCATTCCACTTCATTACATTCAACTTCCACTTCAATTTCTATCCCCTCCCCTCTCCTCCCATATTCAACCAATAGCTTCTATCCATACACATATATGTACTCCTACTTCCTCCCATCTACTTCCTCTCATCCCATTTGTTTCATCTACCTCGTCCATCCCATACAACCCATCTCACATCTCACACCCTCCATCTTCATCTCATATCCATCCCATCTCCATCCATCAAAACCCATAATCCTCTTTCATTCAACCATCCACCTCAACACCCCTCTTCTCCCCTTCTCTCCCCCCCATCCATCCATTCCATCCACCCATCCATTCCCAAAAGTATCATTCAATCTCCCAATCCCTCATTCAATCCCTCATTCAATCCCCCAATCCCTCAATCCCTAAATCTCTCAAACAAACAAACAAACTCCATCCCCTTCCAATCCCCATTCAAACCCCATTCCAACCCACAAACTCCAGTCGTTCCGCCCGTCTTACGACATGTGTATATTTTAGGCTCCATTTTCCCTTCCCTTCCTTTCCATTATGATCCGATCCGGAACCCAAAACTCAAAACCCAAAACCCAGAGACGTGACAAACGAAACCTTATTTCTCCCTTCAACTAATACCATGCTCGCAAAGGATGATTTCATCATCATCGTCATCTTCATGCTATATGCCACGCAATGCATCAAGTCACTTAAGCCTCTCTGTCCTGTCTAACATCCTAGCCTACAACGATTTATCCCACCATTCATCATCCCTATCCATCATCCCTTATCCATCATCCCCCATCCATCAAGCCACAACCACCTCCCCATCTATCCCTATCCCCCCACCACCCTGCCCTAACAAATTTAATTTCGTACTACTCCCTCCTTGACCTGCCAATCCAACTGAACTCCCCATACTATTCCTATTCTTCTTCTTCAACTTCACGGCACCCTGAACATCCTTCTTCTTTGCATCCGCCGCCTCTTTCTCCGCCGCTTGTTGGGAACTGAAGTCTTTCCATTTGCGCCAACCATCAAAATCTATTAGTGCTTGCATACAACCCCATTCCATAACTTTGCGTTCGAGCCAGACGAAGTTAACAGGCTGTGGATATGTGTTAGTATTCAAACATATAGACGACCACAGCGTAAGAAAGTAAACAAACCTTGGTCAAAAAATCATTACACCCCGCCGCCAATGCCTCATGCCTATCACTTTGCAATGAACTAGCCGTCAATGCCACAATAATAACCGGACTCTTGAATAGTACCGTACTAGGCAATTTATCCCCCTCCGCAGGTTCTTCCCCCGTCATATCTCTCTCATTGGGCGCAGTACTACTCGCACTACTGCTAAAAACCCCTATGCTATTAAGCCTCTCCAATCTGCGTATTTCTTTCGTAGCTTCGAGTCCTGACATGATGGGAAGTTGGATATCCATGAGGACTAAATGGAAACCACCACCTCGCCATTTGTTCACGGCTTCGCGACCGTTCATTGCGGTTTGCCAGCGGACTTTAAGACGTTTCATGAAGGCTTCGAGGAGTTTTAAATTGATGATGTTATCTTCGACGATGAGGACATTGATTGGAGGCACGGCTCCGTTGAGCATTCCGGCTGGTAATGAAGGATGATCGACGCCAATCTTTTTCTTCGATCGTTTCTGCGGTCGAGGGGAAATCACCCTCGGAGGGGGGGTCGCGACTCGTTGAGGTGCAAGTTCCTGATTTGGGGCAGGTGGAGTGGGAAGTGGTGGAGGAGGCGGAGGAGCCGTCGATTTTTCTGAGGCATTTGAGTGAGTTCTTGATCTTGCGCCACGTTGAAATTGCGTACCATTGTTTGCAACAGGAGGTTGACTGTGTCCAACAATAATTGTAGGGGAGGAAGTATGAGTTCGTCCTATCCTTGGTCTCGAGCTATGATGTCTTCTTGGCGCTCCTGGAGATGGTAAAGCGGGTACATGACCGGTTGTCAGTACTGACATAGCATGTGCTAATAAGGGAACTGTATGTTGGGGTCCATTAGGGACTGGGATACTGTGCTGTAAGCCTGGCGAGGGAATCTCAGGTGGCATAGGGGGAAAGTATTCTGATCCAGCTTCAGTGGGTCGTCCATCTTCATAATATACCGGATGCCCATTGGGCCTCGGAGATGGTTTCGGAGTCCTTCTCACAGGTACATCAATAACCAACGCTTCATCCACTGATTGACCACCAGGAAAATATGCATCGAGTGTTCGACACATTGGCTCTTCCGGTCCTAAAGTCCTCTCTTGCCTTTGTTGTTCCCTTGGCACAATCTTCAATGCAACATCCGGAGCATCGAAACTTCTTCCTAAGGAATTGGCATATTTCTTCAAGATCATATCTCGCACATCATCAACCAAATCATCCTCATTTATAGTAACCAACGTCGCAGACGCACCGGGCCTTTTAACCCATAGCTTTCGAGTAACCATCGTTGCGCTTATCGACAAAGGACCGTGATGATTAAAATAATCAAGACCAACACTTCCTCCAGTGGGTAGATTGATATGAGGATGTGCTGGTAGATCCGTCCCTAACAAAGTTTTAATTAATTTCGTTTGTTGATGAGGAAGTAAACTTTGTCGTCTGGAGAAATCGGGCTTTCGAGGTGTAGCTTGGTGGGTACCGGTAGTAGTACTATTGTTTGAACTGATAGGACTTTGTGATGTCGTTGTTGGACTATTAATGGCAATTTTCACATCTCTAGATTCTGATTGCGGATCGTCTCTAACTTCATCCTTTTCGTCCTCTTCTACTTCTTCTTCTTCTTCCAACACTCTTGGTATATCTGTATTCGGTGTAGGAAAATCAGTCGATGATGATAAACTATCGTGTTTATTATTCTCTTCGCTAATATTCAATTTGGAATTGGTGTAAGGTAGTTGATTGAAAAGTGGTGTTGATGTTGAAGTTATTTGTGAAGTTGTTTGTGAATGTGAATGAGAATGTGATTGTAATTGTTGATGAAGAAGTTGTTGTTGTTGTTGTTGTTGCAGATCCAAATCGCTATCGCTACCGCTACTCATGTTATTCGTATTTCGAAGGTTTAAGCTTAGTTCCGATCCAACTCTAACTCCAACTCCAACCTCATCTTCATCTGCTCCTCCTCCTCCTCTAACCCCAACCCTAATATCACTCCCGCTACCATTATTATCATCAATTTGTATTATATCTTCGAATTTTGATCCTTCCCTCGTACTTTGATTTTCAACAATACTATTCCCATTCCCATTCCCAATCCCAATCCCATTTCCATTCCCATTTCCAGAATTTGTATCATTTCTCGACGAACCATTTGTCGAACCTCCTCCTCCATATATTGACGTCCGAGGAAGCTTAAAACTGGCTTTCGATCTTAGACTTCGAGTCATTGATTTCGTCCTTTCCCCTTTTCTTTCCCTTTCCCTTTCCCTTTCCTCTATCAAATGATTCTTTATATTCCCTTCCCCTCCACCCTCACCATCTTTCGCAGATCCTGTGAAAGAATTATGCGAATATCTTCGATGAAATTTGGCCCTCAATCGTGTTTTCAAATCTTCTATCGTCATTTGTAACTACTCGAGTATTGTACTGTACTGTAAAAATGGACCCCTTTCCCTGAGGCCCAAGAGCCAGGTTAGTATGAGAAAGTTAAAACAAAGTCGTTAAATCCTTCCGTATATGTTTGAGAATGAAATCAAAATTGATCTTTTGTGATGGGTGAAACTTATTGAAGAATCGATTGGACGCATGAAGTCGTTGGATGGAGGGTTTCAAATTTATTGCTGTACAATCGGCATTCGGAAGGTTTTTGGGTTTGAAGGGTAAGTTATCGTAATGGTGATATTGATTCCTGTTTCTGTACTCGGTGGAGCGGGTAAAGTAAGTAATGTTATTATCGTGACAATATAATATAGCCAACGTAATAAATACGCAACTGAACCGAAATTACCTGTATAAAATACCATTATATCATTTATCATTAATATCATCATCAGACTATGTAACTCGTACTCGAATACAAAACACAAATGAATCCCCTTTATTGAATTAACAATCAGATACTCTGTAAATATTTATCTATATTAATAAATACGGTAATTTATACTCGAGTACTTATATTACTTTTATGCTACGAAAATGATATCTGTTTGATTTTCATGCTATTTAGATTCTATGATATAATCTATGAGGGATTGTGGAAGGGTGATGGAATCTATAAGTACTCGTAGGAGAGTGGAGGGTTAGAAACTATGGCGGCATTGGTGGGAGAGTGGAGAGTAGAATGAATCTATGGTGGATTGTGGAAGAGTAGATATTGTGAGAGAGTGGAATATATGATGGGAGGGGTAGATATGGTGGAAAGGGTAGAATTTATGGTGAAAAGGGTAGAATCTATAATGGAAGGATAGAATCAATCTATAATATAAAATTTAGCTACTCGAGTATTTAAGATTAAGATGAGAGTAATTTGCCATAGTAAATAATAAATATATAATAAATATATCAACCCATCTTATCCCATTCCATCTATCTCATCAAGCTCTCAATATATCACCCAATCCCTATTCCCTAATCCCTATTCCCTACTTTTAACCAATACCAATGCCAGCACATTCACACATTTACACATCTATCTACACATCTCAAAAGAGTGCAATTTTACTGATTGATTGGTTCTCCCATTCTCGACCCATGCTATATACCATACATACCATATTTCCCCCTGTCTTTTTTATGTTTTACCCTCTTGTTTTTTTTTAGCAATTAATTAGACCTTTTATCCCCTCATCTCCTGCTACCCTCCCCCTCCCCTCCTCGATCCTCAATCCCAATGGACACAACTCACAACTCACATTAACAACTCAAAACTCACAATTCACATCAAATCAATTCCTCTCAGACATTTTGAGATTTTTTGGTTCTTTCATTTCATATATCTTCCACTGTGCATCGCTGTTTCGGTCTCCGCTCTGCACTTCGCTATACTGGGTATGTAAATCCTCTACTCAGTAGGTATTTCCTCATCCCCCCATCCCTCCCTTTCATATTCATCGCTATGCTCTCGCAGTTTTTGCACAGCCATACTATAAACATACACACGAGACCATTTCTTCCTTATCATATCCTCTTCCCTTTTCATCTCGGATGGCCTCATTTTCCATCCATTCATGCCATCCCACCCATTCCCAAATGGACGGAAAAAAAAACAAAAAAACACAAACTACAAAAACCACTCCCGCTGAATGCCTTTACTGTCCGACCATTCCCGCATCGCCTCGCGCCATCAAAACAAGTACTTTGCATGAAGTATCGCATTTTTGTGCTTTCCCTATGTGTATGCATGCCAATTGTATATCAAAGACGAACACCCCCAGATAAAAAACCATTGTGCAAGTTTAACAACCTTCTGTGACCAAAACAAAGTAGAACTCAAATCGAAATGCATAGAAAGAATCGAAAACAATCCCAAACCAGAAAAAGGTCGCCCGGACCGGAACCCAGAACCCGAAACCATATCGCTTCGCAAATGCATAGATAGAAAACCATAACAAACCATCCATCTGACTGAATGTATGAGTTTTTCGAAAATCTCTCTTTTAATTTCTCTTCTTTTCGCTCCCAGGGGTTGACCATGTGCCGATTGACATGGAGAAGAAATCTATAACAACCGTAGAACACGCCTATTCAATGATAGCCAAGGAGATCCGATATCTAAACACACTTCCCCTCTGCCCACCCTTTCATTTTCCACTGTAGATATCGAGCATGCACATGCGTTTACTAGGCGCATCATTCAAACTCTATCCATAATGCGCAAGGCGAGAGTCACTTAGCTCCTGTGCCCATCATATTTTTGGGATAGGCCTTTCATTCGAACGTTGAGCACATATTGATCCCTTGGAATACTCTCATCTCGGCTTTCATCTGATCATGTAGACCTTTATCTCTAGCCACCAATGGTCTAACCACCCTTGCGTTCACTTTCGTTGACTGGGAGTTTTTCACCATGAGAATGACCGCCATTGGCAGCCTTAGCAGAGGGAAGACCTCGCCCCTTTTTTCCCTTGGGAATTTGCTGCCAGCTTCCGGAAGATGCTCCGGCTCCACTACCCTCACTCTTGGCGGATCTAGTATGACCATTCTGTTTTGAATTGGAGGTAGATTGCTTGACTAGTTGGTCGGTCCCTACTAAAGGTTTTAGATTCGTTTTTGAATGCTCGGGTTTGTTCTTTTCCGAATTTGCGGGAGATCCATTCGATTCCAAACTTTCGAACTTCCTGTTCATCGACGAAGGTGTGCGCGTCTCATATACGGGTGAAAGATTGGTAGAATCATTTTGAAGGATGTCATTGTGACCCGACGCAATATCGAGGTGTGGCATACCGTCATTTTGGGTATGATGGGCGAGTCTGTTCCTCGAATTGGGTGACAACCGTGAAGACCCATTGAGATCTTCCGCAGGGGACAATCCGTTTGTCGTGACAGATTGATGACTAGTCGAACCATTGGTGGGAGTCACATTGGCGCTAGATCCATTGACGACCAAAGGGGAACCCTCGCTTGGAAAGGTTCGTCGATCTCTCGGTGTAAGTTGCCCGGAAAGATCTTCCCCGGATGAGATATCACTCTCAGCAACAGACGCTTGGGAAATTGACTCAACCGATACTTTGACGTGGGAACTTTTATCTGGAAACACGACTCCTTCACTTGCCAGAGTAGGTTCAAGCCTTGAATTAAATCCTCCTGTAGAAGACGAACCATTCACTACCAAAGGTCCATGATTATTCAAGGTACGGAGATTGGAACTTGACATGGTATGCTGAGCTGGAGTGGATTGTGCCAGGGAGAAAGGTCTCTCGTGTCCTAGGGGGGAAGGCGACCGCGAAGGATTACGCTTAATTCGATCACGAATTGATTGTGGGAGTTGATCAGTTGACAATCGACGTCGATTTCCTGACATGTCTCCGAAAGAAGGTATCGCTAAAGGCATATCCCTGCGGGGATATGTCTGTGCTGGCTCATTGACGTAGTATCCAACATACTCCTTTGGCGTACTAAGCTCCGGTGGAGTAGTGGCCGTTCGCCTCGACTCATATCCTTGCTCCGTGGTCTCGTCCGCAATGAAATTCGAGATAGGAACTCCATTGGGCTGCTGTCGTAATGGTTGATATACTCCAAGTCCATTGGCACCAAGCCCTGGATGACCATTCCCTTGTAACAAAAGAGGCGAGGGAGTAGTGCGAGTCCCAGGTTGTGAATGTGACCTAATGGACCCATTCGATTGAACCATGTTGGAACCCGAGGCATTTGTGACAGTGGACCGATGCATACCTCTTCTCAACTCGGGCACAACAGCACTCAACTGTGGTGACGATGGGTTCGTATTCGAGGTTGGATATGCATACATGGGTTGCCCAGCATACTGAAGAGGATAGAAATACATACCTTCTGGTCGGATAGGTGCTGTCATTGGCCCTTGATCAAATGAGGTAGTTCGATGTCTATCACTTGCTTGTTGCTTAATCGGCATGCCACCGCTGTGCATTCGGCCTTGGGACTGTGCATATACATGCGCCTGAGCCTGAGCATGAGCCTCCGCATACGACTGTTGCATTAACTGCATCCGTAGAGTATTTTCTTGAGCCTGTAAAACCGAATATGTCGTGTAAAGGTGGTTGTGCAACTGTGCTTGCGCGTGTTGCTGAACCCAGTGTTCTTGCGTAGATATACTTGGCGGCATCCCAGGTTGTTGATACATCTGATTATCGTAATTACTATTCGATGATCTGCGACTGCCATTTGACGAATTGCGATTTGAATGATTAGTACGAGCACCGCGATGACCTCCTCTACTATTCCTATGCGGAGGATGACTAGCAGTCAATGTTGGCTTCTTAGATGGTGGTGGCTTCTCCCAAACTCGCTCCTCCTCTTTTGGAAATTCGAACTTTTCACAACACTCATCCAGTTTACCAACAGATATCAAATCAAATGCCCTCCTCATCTCCATGTGAAGCCCGCGGAAAGAGAAGTCATCTGCGGTATTCCCAAGATTGCGACCAACATTAAATGGCTCTTCCACGCACAACATATTGTTCGTTGATATCGACCAACCCTTCTCCTGCTTCGATATTTGCTTTCCATTTCGAACCGAAACAACCTGCTTGTCATAATTGAATTCGTGCCCATAGAACCGAAAAAACTGGAACAGAAGTTCGCCCAGTGTTGACTTGTTCTTCTCACCAAACTCCTTTAAAGCGTCAATATCGTCTGCGAAGCTGCTCTCACCACCGTCCTTCGTTGGCATCTTAAGGTGAGGTCGTTGATGCAGTGCTGGTAATACGGGAGGTTCTCGACTCTGTAGGAAATTGATGATCATGCATATCCAGGTATATGAGCTCAATGTGCCACCAAATGCTATGAACTGTGAGCGAATAATCGTACCAAAAGTTTTGCCTATTCTTACCAGCATCATTGATAACCCTTGACTTTGTCCAATGCTTGATGATCATAGCCAAGGGCCTCACTCGGGGATCAATCTCAATATATGTCTTGATCATTCGAGTGTTCTCCAGGGCAAGAGTATTGTTGACGTTCATATCGCAGAACAACTTGAGATCCGGATCAAATATCTTGACGATTGGAACTTTCGCAGTCGATACACATATTACCTTTTGCATACCATCTACAAATGTCAGCTATGTAATAGTTGGGTGGATTTTAGATACCTACTCTTTGCGAGTAATTCAGCAATCATGCATACACCCTCCATGTCCTTCCAGTCGGTCGTTATGCATATATCAACTAAAACCATCAGTAGAGTTTTCACCTTTTAGGACTCTTATCGACTCACCATCAGACTCATCTGTACAAAGTAAATTGCCAGATGATCCAAAAACATGTACCCGTATATCATGCCCAGGCCACTCGTTATTGAACATATCTTCCAACTTTGACACCATATTCCTCTTTCTCTCATCAGTCTCCGCCGTGGGTAATAATCGATCATACAATTCGCGCATGTCTGTGGACAATTTCCTCTCTTCATCTTCAGATAGTTTGCTTTTGACGTCAGAATCCTTCACTTGCTCCAATCGATCAGTCCCAAGGCTGTAAGCCATGCGCCGTTTTGTGAAAGCCATTGCCGTTTCATATGGACATCCTCTTCGTGGGGCGGGAGGTGGCCTTGAGGGTAGAGTTATATTCGATTCGGAATATGCTGATCTCGGGGAATGACTGCCAGGGGCACTCGGCGAAGGCTCTCTCGATTCGAAAGAAAAGTTCCTCGCATGTTGATGTGGTGTAGAAGGTACGGAATTTGATTCTCGAGATAATGTAGAATTTTGATGTTGTGCAACTGGTCGTGGTGGGAGTTGAGTTGTCAACTCAAATTTCTTGCCCGGCATCATTGTTGATGTCTCCTTCTCTGTTACGAGCGCGCGCTCGCCTTTACTAGAATTTCGTACGTCCCTATTCCCATGACCGCCCCTCGCAGCAGGTTTATGTTTTCGTTCCGTGGTAACGCCACTCGAGCTGGATATCTGCCCGGGCACAGCCTGAATATGTTGTGCTGAAAGTAACGGGGGAAGTGGTGCGGTTTGCAGTCTGGGGTTACTGCCTAAAGAAATGAGCCTGTTGTACTGTGCAAGTTGTTGGTGGTGAAAAGAGGATTGTTGGGGAAGAAGAATGGGAATAAATTGACTTGGAAGCTGAGGGAGACCAGGAATACTCGGCGAGCTGGAATTTGAATCGGTCTGGGTATTGCGCCGCACCAGTCGCGACCACTGTGCAGATTGATATTGATATTGAGAATTACCTGTAAAAGGCCGGCCCTCCATCAAACTTATAATTTCCTTCCGTGTGTGAGTGAGAGATTATCGTTTCTTCCTGACAATGTGTTTTGAGGATGTCGATGTCTCGTCTGTAAAAGACAGGCGGGTAGTCGAAGCAGAGACAAAATACTCTTGCTAAGATTAAACACGATGGAGGTAGCCACGCGACTATGAAAAAGAGAAAAGAATAAAGAGACCTTTTCCCCCAGAATGTGATGTATATCTAATTGTGAACAATCGTCGTGGTGTTGGTCGTAATTCGTAGGTAGAAGAAGTAGGAGAAGGTTCGGAAGATGTTTTCCTTTTTCGATTGCCCCCTTCTAAGAAAGTGATGATATTGAGTGTGATCAGTGAGTGAGAATGAGGGTTTGTAGTAGGTAGGGTGTGTGTGTGTGTTCTATGTATTGGATTGGACCCTCGCTATTTTTTTTTAATTCCGGACCATAGAAATTCGTATTGAAATTGAAGAGTGGAGAAGAAAAAAAAGGGATCTCTTGTTGCTTGCTTGAGAAATCGAGGGTATATTTACGAGTTTGGTTGTATCAACATCAAGAAGAATGATTCCCCTTCTTTAGAAAAATGATCGATTTGAATGAGTGAGAAAGTAATTTGATTGGTAGAAAGAGAGAGGTGGGAAGATTTCTTTTGCTTTGTTCTCAAGAAAGTTGTATCACTCTATGCACTTTCATACAATAGAGTGAGTGATTGAGTTGAGTGAGCGAGTGAGTGAGTACTCGTACAATACAATATAACCTTTTTTTGGTGGTGAATGGGACGTGAATATGACTTTCTCGATTAAGATGATACGCTAAGCATGGTTTATGGTCCGGCAACAACAGGAACAGGAACAGGAAGAGGAAGAGGAAGAGGAACAGGAACAGATTGAGTCTACAAAATAGGTGAGAGGACTTTTAGAAGGAGGTAATTGCTCAAAAAGAAAAATGCACTTTCCCTTCTACGACTGAGTAGTCAAGTTGTAGTCAATAGTCTCCTATTTCAAGGGTTTATATGATTCATAACCACGAGTTATCTATTTGATATTGACTTCATAAATATAGAAATTATAATTGGGGAATTAAATATTGATATTGAAAAAGAGATTGTACGAGTAACCGTTTCTATTCATACATATACATCCATCAATTTCACCCCTCTCATCATATACAGGCAATTCTTAAACTATTACACTATTACTCACTTGTATAAGTACCTGAATAGGTGTTTTGGGAGTTATCGCACAGCATCTGCAAAAACCCCCTACTCAAAGCCCAAGTAAGTGGCTGTATAAGAGAACCTTGTTATATATACTCAAGTAGTATGAATAGAGTCACAAGGATAGCCAAAGCAAAAAAATCAATAGCCAAGCCTCATTTACTCTCTTCTTCTTCTTCTTCTTCTTCATCAATCACTCAAACCTCATTTTTACTATCTACCGGAAAATATAATATAGTTCAATTCTTTTGTGAACCTTTCTCTTTTGCCTAACCATCTAGCCATTCACAACATCTCAAGTAACATCGAGTTGTGACTGTGTGACTGTGTGACCTCAATATAGATTATATGTGCCCATCCAAATTGCATCACAAATCCCCCGGTTCAGTATATATATTTCCGCATAGGTAGGTAGGTAGGTAGGTAGGTAGGTAAGTAGGTAGGCAGGCAGACAGGTACCAAGAAGTATCCGGACATTCCAAGGTTTCTCTTTCGCTGGTGCTGGTACAAGGTACTTTCGATCGAGAGAGAGTACGTACCGTCCGTACTCGAGTACATACATATATACAAGGAATATCAAGGAAGCGGAAGAAAACGATCACGAGTTTACAACTGCATCATATAAGTTTCAGCCCTGGAGAGAGTCTCATTATCTCACTCATTCTTCTTCGAGGGGCAAAGATACCGGTACAGTACCGGTATATTCAGCTCCTCTATCTAAAAGCTTCCTTCATCACAACAATTCCCCATCTCATCTCATCTCATCTCTTCCATCAAGATATGAGTACCATCTGTGGTACCCTGTGCTAGTTATCCATGCGCATACCGTGTGTGTGTGTGTGTTGTGGACTTGCATAGCGAGATGGCTTTAGGTCCCAGTGCGGTGCAGTGCAGTGCAGAAAGCCTTGTGCCTGCGGTGTTCTGGTGCTATGGGGGTATATATATTTTATGCTGACTAACTTAGATGAATAATTTTGTAACAAATCATACCTTTCTCCAAGGAATCCATCAGTCTGATACAAAGGGAAATTTACAGTTTATATGAAGTTGAGTCAATGTGAAGCTACAAAGTGTATCAAGTATAGGGAGATCCGAGAGGGGAGTCTAGACAAATCTAAAGGAAATCATTTCAATTTTGAAAAGGATTGAATAACTCCCTAGTTAGATTAAACTTCTTGTATAATTTATTTAGTGGTTTTTTTCTATTTATATTACTTTCTATAAACAAAACTATATATAAGATATCCAAATTAGTTGATATATTGATTCTCTAATTCCCCGTGATATAGGATCGAGCTTAGACCTTTCTAGATCTTTTGAGCCTTTTTCTTCATCCCTATTCAATCTATTGGGTTATATCACTCCCAAGTAACTACATAGTATATTATTAATAGATATTCGTATACTCCCTATACCTACTCACATCTGTTAAACCTTCAGAGTAACAGCCTCAAATAGGAAGCCGTTAGAAATACCTATATAAACCTTAATATCAAGTTGACTAGGTAGGTAGATAGTTACCCTCTCATATCCGAGATGCGAGTTCTAGAAAACAATCAAAAGACAAAGACAAAGAGAGACGTAAGATTGATTAACAGAACCCTTGATAATTATCCTCACTAAATCTCAATAAGACATATTTAATCCAAACCTAGAAACCAAAAAAAGGAACCCTTTTTTGGGTATTTTATTCCATCCAACCTAACCTATCTACCTACTTTTAAACATTCTACGGAAATGTATTTCCGTATTATATATATATTGTGTTTCCGGGTAATTAAGAGGTTTATCAGGGTTCCATCAGGGTCCTTGTGCTATGCTAGTTTCCATTTAACCTTTAATCTCCTTGATTTTCAAAAGATTCCAGAGTCCTTCTGATCCGAATACAGTTATACCGGTAGTACGATCCATTGTATATCCGAGGGCCCGATATCTCTCTAAAGAATATTCCTTTATATCAATAATAAGAAATCTGGGGAGAAGCGGCATCAATTACCTATTTCCGTCTTTTTAATTAAATTATATTAACCAATTAGATTTGGCCCTGTTCGGCAATTTAGCCCTGGTTAACCGTAAACAGGATTTTATTGCCTCTTGAAGATTTCTAGAGATCTTCCGTGGCATCCATCTAGTCAATTTTCTTTTTCTTTTTCGATGAAGAACAGCAACAGGGAGCCTTGACTTCTTCACAAATGCACAAATTTCAAGTGCCGACATATGCTAGCGTCTGAAGATGTATTACCGTATTCACCTACCTTAGATCCTTTATTATATAAAAAAACTTCATATCTCTATTTACATTCATGATTACTAATTCTTTTCAATCTCAATCTCGATCTCAATTCAACAGAGACGACATTCGATTTCTTCTTTCCGCCTTCCTTTCAATGTTCCATTTCTAGACTCATTCAAATTTTTCTCCTTCCTTGTCTTTTCTTTGTTGATAGAATAAAGCTTGGATTTATACTCGAGTACTGATACATGAATCTATTCCAATGTCCACACTGCTCACTAATCACTTAATCACTCATCTCTCGAATCTCGATTTCCAACCCAATCCTCAATTTGATTTTCGTCAAAGGGACCTACCTACCTACCTACCTACAATGTCGATATACCGACCGGTATGTACTTGTCCGTATACAAATGGGGAAAACCTGCAAACTTCAAGGCCTGCCTTAATTGTGGAGTTACTTGTACAATATAACAAAGCCTCAAATCTAGTTCTGGAAGTTCTTTTCGAAGCCAATGATCACTCATCAGTATTGATGAAGGAAAGGTACCGATATCAGCTTCTCAGTTTTGTCCAAACAAACTGTTTCGTTTCATTTCAATTTCATCTGATCTTCCATATCCAATGTGCATACATACGAGTGAGTACATGTTCGACAGCCAACCCAGCCTATCCAGGACCAGGACCCTCGAGCTTGTCTTCTACACAGTATCACAGACCGAAAAACTCATTCATAGAATATACATACATACATATGGAGTACATCCGGTATTACTCATACATATCCCGAAGCAGCAACACCCATCTATCTAAACTCCGACCACAGTAAAAAATCCACCCGGTACTTCCGCTCCGCTTCAACCCAAACCCTCCTCCATCCATACTCTGAAAAATGCATATTTGAATTTTCGACATCCTAAACCTCTAACGCAAAAAGATCCTTCATTTTTATTATTATTATCCTCTAAACGTCATCTAGCCACCCTTCTACTCTTCTATTTCCAATCCAAAACTACCGGTACCCGTACCATAATTCTCTTCTAGCCAACTAGCCTAGTACGTACTACCGTAGCTTCAAGCCCTCCGGTTCTCATCGCCCAATCGGCATCTACCCCCGAAATAATCTAAAGACGTCTTGGGCCTCAGACGTCATTATCATTCTTGATGTACCCGAGTATGGTATGCATGAATTTGAAATCAATATACATACTAGATACATACAAACAAACATACAAATATAACATCACAATAACACATTATATATGCAAATCTTCAAACAACAACACATCATTCCAACACATCATTCCAATCCAATCCAATCCAATCCAACCCAATCCTCAACCCCGAGAAAACAGAAAGGCAGAAAAATCATAAATCCCGGCATTCCCAGCAATCCGTTATCCGCCCCCATCTCGGAATCTACGGGATTGAATTAGAATTCCATATTCATATTCATATTACAGTACTCGATTCAATTCAACACATATCATATCATATTATATCAATTCATCTACTATACTCTACTCTACTCTACTCTACTCTACAAGTATTTCAAAGCATCTATTCTTCAATCTATCTCATCTGCATCTGGATTTTTCTTACTCATTCCATATAACATAAACATAAAAGTTTTTACACAACACATATATATTACATTACAATATCAAACCAAATCATATCATATTACATTACAATACATACATTAAACTCCTAGATCTAAATCTAAATCCTCATTTTATTATTTATACCTAATATTTCAAGTTAGTAATACAGATACAGATACAGTATTCGACATTACATTACATTATTCAAGTTTTCTACGCTACGAGTAGATTGATGAAAACGTCTGTCTGATTATATTATTAGATAGGATTTCTTTGTTTGATCCGGTTTTTTTTATATTTGTATTATATACCTGCAAATCGCATATTTACAACCGGTGTATCATTAAGAATTGGATATAGTTTGGAAGAAGGAGGGGATATTATACTCTACATATATATATATATATATATATATATCTCATACCATCAATGGCACGATTAATATCTCGGTAAGATCATTATTCGCTCTCCTCCCCCTCCCCTTCCCCTTTCCATCCCCCTCAAATCCCCCAACTCTAACCTCCCATCCCCTCCCAGAACATCCTCCCGCCCAACCACCCTCCTAATCGCCCTCCTAACCCTCGCCAACAACACTCTTTCCTCACTCCTAATCCACCAACTCCCTGATGACCCATTTCATCTGGCTGTCCACTATAGTTTCTATCTACATTTCGCCAATGTACTGAGTATTTTTGGGGTTATTGGGGCGCTGAGGGTATGTATTATATTTTCATGTTTTTCCACTTTCTTCTTGTATCTTTCCTATCTTTTGTATTGCATATTTGGCGTTGCCGGGTGTGGATTTTGGGTATGGGTTTGAGCTTTGTTAGACGGCTTGCTTGCTTGGTTTTGGTTTGGTGTTGGATGCTTTGTGTATTCATATGATATCATATGATATGATACATTTCGTTTCAGTTCATAACAACACAATCTAACAACCCCCCAGAAACATCCCCTCTCCATCCTCCTCTTCAGCACCTACCTCCTTCTCGACACCCTCCTCAGCGCCATTCCCCGCCTACTTCTTCTCACCCTCCTCTCGAAATCCTCATCTATCATCTGCGCCCCCAACTCCACCACTTCTCTCGATTTCTCTACTCGATCTCCCTCTTCCCTCTCCCCAGCTTCTTCCCCCATCTCCGCATATACATATTCTCTCTCCTCCCATATCCCTCCCAACACACATATCCCCACATTCTCAGATTACATGTCCCCGATGGATATGGATGGAGAGCAGCGCTGGACGGCAAATGGATGTGCGAGGATTGTGCAGTTGGGATATGTGACGTTGATGGTGGGGGTGGTGGCGGCGATGGGGTTGCAGGTTTTGGGCGCCCTGTGTGTGAGGGATTATGCAGGGGATTTGTTTCTGGTGGAGAGGGAGAAGGAGATAGAGTTGGAGTTGGAGATGGGGTTGGGAGAGGGAGGGGTGGAGGGAGTGGGAAGGGGAGATCGGGATGGGGGAAAAGGGAAGACGTGGAGATACTAGAGAGAGTGGGGTATAGGTTTTTTTGGTGTTGGGTTGGATAGGGATATAAATTTTGATTTGGAGAGAAAGAGAAGTCCACGCCAATTGTGAACGAAGAGGGTCCTCCGAAGATCCTACTTCTTTTCTTTC